GACTCGCGGTAGCACTTGCGGCAGCTGCTCAGCTGCCTCCGATGCGGTTGGCTCAGCCGGACGGCAGCACTGGTCTATTCAACTGAACCTGTTCCATGTGGCAGACTCTGCTGTCGGGTCGAGCTTGATGGCTTTGGGAACCTCAAGACGGATGAAATCTAACCCGGCACCCATGAAGCTTTGTAGAATCTGACAAGGTGCCCGAGTAGCGCTGTGCAATCTCAGAGATGTGCCGACGCCTGCACTAAGGCAGAACCACGGATTGCCAAAACTGCATGTAGTGGAAAGACACTGTGTCGCCTCGCTCTGATCTTCTCGATTTGAGCCTTGGCCTGACATTGTTTTCGGTAGGACGGATGCAAGCGAACCGGCAAAGGTCGGCCTCCTCCACACTCGGCCTGCAGTCCGGAGGCAAGAAGGTGATCTCTCAAGAACGACAAGGGGCGAAGAGCTATGTCCAGCCGGGAGGCAAGGCGATCTCGGTCTGGTTGGCCTCCTAAAATTAAACTTTTCAATCACGGCCACAGTCGAAATCTTCCCCACCTTTTCGGTGGGAAAGAAGTCCAGGGGATCAAGGCCATCCGTCACCTCGATCGGCGGGCTCCGTCACTCGGACAGGATTGTCGGCGATCCTCGCTGTTTCTGCGCCCAGTCACATTGGTTTCCCGGTCGTCCTCCTGCAGGTCGAAGAACTCCTGGTGCACCCCTGCTATGAGATCTGCCTGAAGCGCTAGAACGTAAATTTGGGCCTCGTCGATATCACTTTCGGACGTCGAACAATCGGACGACTCCTCGGATGCGGACAACACAGGAACACAGATGCGTTTTAGCAGTTCACTCTGTTCCCACGAAGTCCTCGGCAGTGCACGTCGCCTGGAAGGGCAGCGAAAGCTTTGGAAAAATGTTGATGGCTCGATGAGTTTCGCAAGTGGGTTCAAAGCTCAGTGCATGACCAACACGTGCACGCACGCTTCGTGCGGAACATCTGACATAATGTCTACTCTGAAGTGCTTGGTAATGCTGACAATTCCTGCCCTCTAAACGTTTGGACCAGGAAGGGCAGAGCGAGTGGTTTTTTGCGCGAACCCGTGTCGGTCTAGTGCGGAGGTGTGTGTGTGTGTGTGGGAGTGTGTGCACGTGTGTGCGCGTGTGTCTGTGCGTGTGTCTGTGTCTGTGTCTGTGCCTGTGCCTGTGCATGTGTCTGGTGCGTGCGGGCAAAGTGGCGGTTTCATGACAGCGGAAGCGAGTGCCCATCGAACGAAGGGTTCACAGAAACGATCCACTGAACGAACAGAGGGTTGGCAAATGAGCAGCCACGGTCAGCAGTGCGAGTCTCACTCCTTGCACATACATACATACACATATACATATATGTACAGAAAGGGAAACCCGGCCGGCCGCTTGCATGATTCCTGCTTTTTGTTCTTGTGCAAATTTGTGCAAAGACGTTGTGAAACATTTAGTCCATATCCAAAAACGGGCCTGGCTTGAAAGCAGGGGGTTGCTCGCAGAACACGACAGCAGATTAGTCGGTTGATCAGAACTTACAAACATTCAAAACCAACCCAAAAAACTCCCTCTGTGCATATGTATACATATATACATATAGATATGTATTTGCATATGTGCGAATGCATATTTATAGATGCATGGCTGTATACATGTATATATGTGTATACGTGTATTTATGTGCATATATATATATACACACATATATATATATAATATGTATATATGTACATATGGATGTGATGTGTATATATGTATAGATGTATATATTCTTATATGCATATATGATTATATGATTAAATGTATATATGTATATATATATATATATGTAAATATGTATATACGTACATATGGATATGAAGTGTATATATGTATATATGTTTATATGTATATATGTATATATGTATATAGACCTCTTCGCTAGACATTCAGTTCGCGCACTCAGTAGCAGATTTGCGCACGGGCACTGACTAGCTGGATTCGTGCAGCGGCAAGAAGAACAGCAAAACCCTGTAGGCTAGTAGGCCCTCACCAGATCAGACACTCTCCACCCTGACATCCTCAACTTTAGACTCTATGCTTTTATAGGACAAAGTAACTAACCCTGAAACCCTCAAACCCGAAACCTGGGCTGAAGGAGAACCGTAAAACCCAGCATCAAAAGTCGAAACTCATTGAGCCGATATAATTACGTTAGACCCGAAAATCCCGAGCCCTCGAAACCCTCAAGCCCAAAAAACATACTACTGTAACACCCTAAACCCTAAACCCTAAAATCAAAACCCCTGAGGCACAAACAAGCTTGAAGTACTCTAACCACCGCAACCAAACAACCCTTCAACTTCTCGAACAACTGCCGTGCTTGCATCGGCATGTGTGCTGAAATCGCCAGTGCGAGCATCGGGATCGTACTCGAATCGAGCATGCTCGCGTCACGCGTTCCGACAGTGCAGTAAACAAACGAACAAGCGGTGTGACTTGCCGAACATGTTACAAAGAACATACAGCAAAAGTGGAGTCTTGCATTTGTAACAAGTCCGCATTCATTTCTCCTTACTTTTCTTTGCCAGGCCCAGTCCTAAACGAGAAGAGACCGTGGCTGAAAGACCCGAATGCGATGCAATAAGTCTTAGCTGCTTCAAACGACACTACAAATTCTTGACAAGCCCCTGTTCTTCCTGCGAGCCCTAGCCACAAAACAAGTGCAGGAGGCCGTGGCAGACAGGAAACCCGAAAGCCTGCAACTAGTGGTGAGCAAGCCAGACCCAAAACAGATGGCAGGACCGGGAGCGGCAGGAGTCTTCTAACCTGAAAGCTTGATGCTCAGAAAAGCCTCGACCCTAACACTGACGGCGACACGGCTTTTGGTTTTGGAACTCAGGCGACCGTTCCATGTGAAGTTTCATACTCAGCAGTGGCCATCTCAAACGATGGGGTCTCAATGTTCCTGGCTGCAATGTTGAGCATTGAACTTACTCCACATTTGGTTCGCGAGGTTGCCAGGGAGAACGTCGTGCTTGCATTGGCTCCTGTTGCTCCAAAGTTCCCTTGGTTCAAAAGCGCTGTTTCTCTAGGGGAACTGCCTGGAACCCATTCCACCCGGCTCCCAAAGCAGCTCCAGGCCTCGGAACGGCCGGAGCGGTCGCGAAGCGTGACGACACCTCGGGCAGAACGCGGTCCCTGCATTCTCACGTCCATTGCATCCCAATGAGACCCCACAAGTGTCGAAGCAAACATCAAGAAGACGTCATGGTCAGTTGGAGAAGCTTCCCAGGCAACTCGGGGTTTCCAGTTCCGCAGCTTTTGACTTTCGAAGATAGAGCCTAGATCTGGCCCCAGTCCCTGGCAGGCCCTGGGAAGCGCTTAGTGGCTCAACATGGCTCAACTGAAGACGAGAGAGGCGGGCTGGGATTCTTCTTGTCCTCTACGATTAGTTCTCGGCAGCTGAGCTCTGCACTGACATCTGCCCACGAGAACTCGTCGTGGACATCATCCCCGGCATTCATGGCAAGGTCAGAGTCTATGAACAACTAGAGCTCTTGATGCCATACCAGGATTGAGGTGATTGCTCTCCACCAACCCACAACTTCGCAATGCTGACCAGTTGCAACGACCCAGAAGCTGATGTGGTAACACTCTAAGTTTGCATCGAGATGTGCCGCTGGATGTCGCGGGCCATGCACAGGAAGCTGCATCACTTTGCTGAAGAAGTGTGTTTCGACTGCGAATCGACAATGATAGCCACGACAGCCGAAGCTTCTGTTGGCAATCTATCAGAATCCTGTACTTCTCGCACAGCCGTCGCTGCTGGCTGGGACAACTCGACGCCATCGCAGCAGCTACGGCAGCCACGGAGGTCACGCATGGTGCACCGGAGCTGAAGTGAGCCTACCGCAGCTGCGGTCTGCACCGCCGCCACGCAGTTCCACTTCGACTTCGTGACCACGCCGATCACAAGAAGAACCCGGGTGCTCCACCATGATGCCATATGAAGACACCAGCAGCCAGCGACACAGAGGGCAAACGAAAGTCTCGAACTCCACCTCGAAAGTGTCCATTCAGCCACCAATCCTCACCAAATCAACGAAGAAATTCCAGAGTACAAACTCAAGGGCCCATTGCCAAACACACGCTGCCGCAGGTCGTCCTCTCGGTTGGTCGCGGGCGCTTCAGAGGCGTGGCCAGGGAGTATCAGCAATCTGCTGCGACCTCCACAGATGAAAACGCCACGAAAAGAGGCAGCCGCGACGCTGTCAAACGACGCCACTCTCTTCCCCGAGGCCACCTGGCGGCTTTGCGCTAGCCTGCCATGGCCATGCTGCGACATGTCGCTTCTCAGCACTTCGCAGCAGACTCGGGCCTCGGCGGCCCCACACGCCGAGGCCATCCCCGCAGCCGACGACCTCTCTACTGAACCCTTACAGGCATTGTGTGAAGTGCGACTGATCGTGAAGCGCAAGATGCACTCACCTGCCACGGTCTTCCGCAGGCTTACCTTCCGGAGATTCCAATCAAGCTGATATGTCAGGAAACGATAGCTTCCTGTACTGTAGCACAGTATAGGCCTTGCTCAGCCACGATCATCGGCGGTAGCGGCACCTCCACGGCAACTCGACAAACGAGTGACAGATAGGCGGAAGGCTTCTCAGCCCTTGGAATGAAGCTTCACCTGCTCGGTAGCGTCATCTTCCCTGGGCTCGTCAAGATCATGCCGCAATGGGTTGAGCCGCTGCAGCGCCTGAACTGACTTTTTGAGCGCTTGTGAATCAAGGTTCATACTGCTCATACCGGTACCACAGTGATGACCTAACAGGATGCAAAACGAGGGTCAGAGAAAGAAGGCTGCACAAAGACAAAAAGAGATGGCACAGAAAATGGAAATGAGTCGTCGACTGACTCGCAACAACCCGTTGTCAAGCTGCACGTCGTGACTGAAGTAGTTATCTACAACAGCCAGCATAAAGAGTGTAGACATCAAGGCAAGGAACACAAGCAAACATAGAGGAAATGACGAGAACCGTCCACTGAAACTGCAGAATTGGGGGCCACCCTTCCGATAGCTGGAACCGCCTGCCGATTGGAGTTGCGAGGTTCAGGAGTCTCTGCCGGCGACCTGCTTTCGTCCCATGCCATCGCAGGTCATCAGCGCCCTCAAGCCTAGTTCGACTCGTGAGGACAAGCGGCTCAGTGCACAGCTGCAGCCGGAATCGGATCCTGTCCGGTCACTCGACGTCTTCAGGGCGTGAGGCATCGTGAGGGCATGGCTCAGTCCTTGCACCCAGACGAATCACGGCACCAGCCGCCAGCGGAACCATGACACCCTGAGGCCAGGTGGCACATCGCTCGTTTCACGAGGTGAAAGCTGCGAAGCAGCACGAGTCATGTGCCTTTTGCAGCTTGATGTCATCCAGGAAAGTGCCGTTCGTGCTGACATCCTCCAGTTCGACTCGTGGAGTGACCGCCAGATCGCTGAAAACGGTGCAGTGCAGGCCGCTCACCTCATGGCGACGGCTCTTGAAGGCTCACTTCCTGCAAAATCCAACTTGCAACGACTGCTGCACAGCTGCCGGACACTAAGAAATATCAACAACTCAACAACTTGGATCCGTGCCGTCTCGTCCTGGCACACCTGAGAGTGTCACAAGATGTCACAAGGACGTCCCGGTCCTAGCCGTGGGATCGTGAAAACAGTCGGAGGACATTCAAGCAAACGGTGTCAAGCCAAGCACGCACAGCACTGAGGTCGTCTGCTTGGTGTGCAACCCAGGGCACAATTGAGCATGTAGCTTTTCTGCCGATGGTAGTAGCACCGCTTTGAGGCAAAGGAAACCGGCCAGCCGAAAACCTCAAGCAAATCACTCTCCTCTTTCACAAGATCTACCAAGCAAGCAAACCCATAAAATGAAGAAGCGAATACTCTGCAAATGCCGCCAGTAGACCCGGGCATACCCGCCACGCACGGCACCAAGAAGCCACATGCCATCAAGCATTGGTGTTCACTTTAACGGCTCGAACCTAGATCTTGCAACATCGCTGGGGTGTGCTGCTCAGACTCTCTCGCGCGCCGTGCTCGCTGACGTACTGGCACTGGCAGACTATAGGGCGACTGCAGGTGCACATCGAGTCATACATTTATTAAAGCAGTTTTACTGCACGTCCAACGCAAACTCCGGGAAGGTCTCTTCAGCAAAGGCTGCCTTCCCTGCCTGTTGACAAGCTCTGACTGCAGAAAGCAGTGTCTGTTCCCTGACCTTAGCTATCGCGACGGCTGCATCACGACGAAGCAAAGACCACACATGCACATAACACTAAGAGTGAACAATCGAGAGGCGGGAAGGCCTTTCTTGCGCATGCTGCGTACCAGCTGAACAGCTTCTTGCCACTGACCAGCTTTCTCACAGACGGAGATGACAGAACTGTAAGTCAAGGCATCGGGCACGACGACGCGAGCCCACATATCCTCAAGGTATCCCATTGCCGTCCTCCACAAAGAGCCCTCGCCGGCAAGGATTATGCCCAAATTGTACAAAACCCACGTAGGTTGCAAGTCGACCTGGAGCATGTTGCTGAGTGTGCTAACACCTCGTTCCCACTGACGTCCCTGCGCACAGGCTGTGATGGTGGTGTTGTAGGTCGAAAAATCCCAGCGTCTTTTTGCAGCATTCATGTCATCGAGCAGCAACAGGACTCTCTGCCATTCACGTGCATTGCAACTGGCCGACATTGCCAAGTTGTAAGAGATCATGTCAGGAGCCAGTGCTCCAAACAGCAACGCTAGCACGGTCTCCCACTCGCCGGCTTGGCTGCAGGCAATCATGGCTGCGTTTGTCAGCACCACATCGCCGCGGCTTCTGGTTCCCGCGCGCTTTGCTTCTAGAAGACTGAGAGCTTCCTGCCACAGCTGAAGACGGCCAAACGCCGTGATGAAAGACTGAGACTCCTGACAAGCAAGGCAGCAAGGCATGAAATAGCCGCGAGGTTTCAAAATGGTTGCAGTGCCAGGCCTTGATCCTTGTGAGAAGTTCCGGCTGCTTCAGAATGTCTTCCGCAGCCATTTTTGCTTCCAAGGAGTTTGCGGCGAGCTGCTCCAAGTCGCGCAAACGTCCCTGATTCCTGACGGGGACCAAAGGTTTTAGCTGCTTCTACGCTGAGCATCACTTCGAAGCCTCAAGGATTCTAGCAGTTCTCTATGTCGAGAAGGCTTCAATCAACCAGCCTATATACTGAAGGCTCTTTGCAAGCTGGGTGTCTTGACGGAGACAGCAGGCCCCTCGGGTGACCTTCTTCTCATCTTTCCTCCATCTCGGGGCTGCCTGGACAGAACTCTGTCGCCCGGTGCTTGCGAGGCTGCCGCAGACTTCGCGAGGTCCACGGCAAAAAGCAGACTCGAGCACCGAATGCCAAGCAGTGCCACACCCAAGGCCAGATGAGCCCAGCATCCGAAGGCCCTCAGGTGCCGTCGCCTAAGCGGGAGCTCTTTGGCTGCCATTGCCTTAACGCTGCGGAAGTAAACACACGATGAAGACCCATGACCCAACCAGAAGCTTTCGAACATCCTCTCATCAGACACAGATGTGTTGATGTGTTGATTTCAACATATTGCCTCGAAGCCTGTGGTCCCTGCATGTCCCGACCCCTGTCCTGACCCCTGTCCCGACCCCTGTCCACGGAGGCGTAATGTGTGGACTCGCAACCACTCAGACCCCGTGCTGAGTGCACTTGTTGAAATTGCCTTTTGTGCCGTCTCCGGCTGTGTCGACTATGCCGGGTCTTCCCAGCACAGCGGCGAGCTTGGGTGAAACGACTGCAGCAGAAGTCTTTCTTTACAGATTTCCCAAGTCACCACCGTGAAAAGTCCACAAGGTACGTCCACCGTGCTTCCTGGGCAGGGTGACGTGTCCATCCCTTTCCTCGCATGGCGTTTAGAGCTCAGAGGCGAGAGGCCTCGACAAAACCGAGCATGTGAGGATAGCTCCTCGGCAATCAAGAGCTTCCGGAGTAAACCCCTGCAACAGATTATGCATGCAGTAAACTCAGTAGTGTGCGCTTTCAAAAAAACGACTTCCGCAGAGCGTCACTCACTGGAAGGCGTTAGTGCTGATAGAGCAGTGCTCTGGACTCTGGAAGGTACTGCTGTTGAGACTCCATCCCCATCGGAGGGTGCCAGACAAGACCTCGCGCCATGGCGTCCTTGCGCCCAGCAGCCGATCTGCGATCCAGCCCTGGCCGGCGGAGACAGCGAATCAAAAGCCAGAATGCGCTCAAAAAAAGAGCCACGACCTCGTGGAGTGGCAAGTTGATGTTCATCAGGAAAACACTGCGCGGACGACAGTGCATTTCCTTGTTTTTAGCAATTCATGGACAGCCAAATCGCTGATGCAGGATCTCTCCCACTCCCCCTCCCCGTTGCACAGACACGTGTCGAGAACGTGCCACTCTTCGATCGCCGGGCCACCCGTGTCGATAACTGCGAGCTCCAGCGTCCTTCAAGCGGTGGGGCAGCAATCATAAGTCAGAGGAGGCCAAAGCCACCGCTAGCCACTGGCTACTGCTAGCCAGCTCCGCTTGCTGAAAAGCAATTTCTGCTCCCCGGCCTGTCAGCCAGTTCTTCACAAATCTCTCGCAGCATGCTCTCGTTCTTCTTCGGCCGAGGACATCGGAAACAGTCCTCGCACGTGGAAGGGCCAGCCCGGGCAGGTGACACGGGGTGGTCAAGAGATCAGTCCAGCACATTAAAGGATCCTTCCATGGAACGTCCACATGCCCTGACAGAATGAGATGCTCGACCGACTGGACCAAAGTGCTGCGCCATGACCCGGCCTTGGGCACAGCTCACTCGGATATGCAGAACCATGCACCGCCATCATCTTTGGCCGACGGGAGCCCTGTCCAGCAGAATCGGGAATCCTTTTTGCCGCGCACGTCTTTTGCCTCATCCCAGCCTGCAGGTGCCGCTGAAGGCGTCTTGCGAGGGGCAGCGGTTGCCCGCTGAGGCGATGAACCTCCACGCCGTGCGCCTCAGAGGAGTCGCCACGTGCCGTACAAGCCAACACATGCACAGCATCACACCCGAACGTCTCGACGTCTGCAGATACTGCCAGTGAAACGTCCTGAATGCGCTGAGTGGCTGGCTGCTCGCTCAAGAAATCATCCTCGGAACAAGGTCTTTAGCCAAGCACTTGTAACTTACAGCCAGTCACACTGGTTCCGACGAGTCTCAATTGCTTCTGATCTCCCGTCGAAGCTCAACAGCACTGGAGGCTCCTGCAAGGAAAGTTTCGGAGCCTGCGGGAGGGGGCGGCCGGGGCGCGGCGGCACTCCCGTGGGCACTCCTCAGACGCGGAGCTCCTGGAGCCGCAGACAGGCAAAGCACTGGCCTCCCTCATCGCATCAGCCCGAAAAGCCTCGCGACATCGCATCGGCTTTGAAAGACGGAGCCTGCTGATGCCTGCTGTTCTGTTGCGATTCAAGCGACTTGCAGGGCGCGAGCCATCCCATCGACGAGCCTCACCAGGGAGGAGCTCTCATTTTCAGCCTTTCCCTTGTTGGATCTTGCACCTCTTCGTCAAGAAGCCACCACCCATGTACACTTCGACTGCGAAGGAGTTCTGCGGCTGGGATATGCTAGCACTCGGGAGCAGTTCTAGGAGCTGCTCAGCTACTCGGTGTCACTATGCGCCTGTGGCCGGCAAGTGAAAGTCATCCAGGCGATGCATCGCGCGGCACGTTGCAGGGTCTGCAAGTTCAGGTCGGGAACGAGGTCCTTGCCGGTGAGGCAGAAGGGGAAGTCAAGTCTCTGAGCACATCTCCGCTTTTGCGATCCTGCAAAATCTCCGGAGACCCGTCCACCGGGCCAGCCGAAGGGCTTCTCAGCTGCGAGCGATTGCGAAAATACGAGAATGTTCGCAGAGGGCCGACCTCCGCACCTGCAACGTTTTTGACCCTTCGGCCCAAGCTTCGACCAGGCAGCTGGGTGGTTGTCCTCCCAGGCATCATCCTGTGATGCGCTCGCAAATGGAGCGATTTGGGCGATGGGGATTCTTTTTTGTCAGAAGCTGTCCGAAATGAACATACCCCCTGTTGACCGGAACTGAGGCCCTCTCGGCCGCTCGGACTTATGGCATCTGATACACACACTACTAGATGTAACTCTTCGGGCTGGAATTCAACAACACTCAGAACGGCAGTGTCCTCCAGGCAGCTTTTGAGCAGACTAGACATCCTCTCCCGTTGTGGTTCCGAGCCCCACCTTAGCAAGTGTTGTCACCGTTCCACAATCATCATCGCAACAACTTTTTGCTTCGTGTGCTTCCCCGGCACGGGAGAGATATCGTTCCCGACGACAGGGCAAGAAGCCCAAGCCGGCAGCCCAAGCATGCGATGCCGACCATGAGCTCATGCTGGGGCTACGCTGCAGTTTCAATATTTCAATATGCTGTGATACGCGGGTGCCAACCGCACAGGCTACCGTCAGGAGAGTCTTTGTCCTCGGGGTCGTCGACTCGAGATATGAAACAACGGGACGCTGCAGATCCTCTCTCCTTCCTATGGTCCTGAGCCTGCACATCTCGCAGCAATCAAGAGTGTTTCAGTAGACCACGCTGCGATGTCGACAGTGTGCTTTGCCGCAGGCCTCGTCGGCAGTCAGCCGCCATCTTTTTTTGGCAGCCTAGAGAAGCTCACTTTGCGAGTACTCTCATTGACCATAAACATGGACTATCTGGGACAGATGCAATCGGCTGCCTTCTCCAACTGAGGTGTCCGAAAAACAACTACGAGACCTTTCACCATGCTCAGCATCTCGACAAAGACCTCGGGCGAGCCACATTGCAGAAACTGTGGCGACTGCATTCTTCAGCGCACAGAGGCAATGACTCTCCAAGGGCCCGTTCCCTGATACTGGGCCAAAAACGCGAGCCAGCTCGCGGTCTCCTCTCGCCACCTCCTTCATTCACTTCGGACGTCGCGTCTGAACGAGAAGCTCCTTCTATGCTGAGATTTCGATCACCTGACGACGGTAAGCAACATCCAACGTGGCAGCTCCTTGAGCACCACTTTCTTCCTTAGCGCCGTGCAGGCCATACGTAATCATGGTGCCCCACGGAAGTTTGCAAGAGATGAAAGGAGCAGCATACCGAGACAGCCCAATTTACACCTGATACCCCACCTCGTGTCCTCAGACAAAGCGAGAGGGACTACAAAGTTCGCCGAGCATCTGCTCATCGCCCGTCACGCGGGCAGATGCTCTGGTCTTGTCCTCCACTCCGAGCCTTGAACTCCAGAAACAAGCTTACGGGCTTGGACGACTCTGCACTTCTTGCTCGAAACGATGCGTGTGCAAGATGCTGTGCCGTCACAGCCGAAATTTTACCTCAAGGGCCCAATGCTCGGCAGTTTTGTCGTTGGGTACGTGCGAAAGCAAGTTACTCACCGTCGGAACCGAGTGAGATGTGCAAGTGCTGCTTCGGTGCAGATAAGTGTTCTCTTTGCGACTGTTTGGCCGGGTGCTTACATGAAAACACATTAGCAGCTTCTATCATGCTGGTGAAGCCTTCTTGATCTCGATGTTGGCAGTGAGGTCACGCAGCATATCTCTACGTTTGCAACATACCCCCAGACAAACTCGATTTGCTGCCACTCTCTGGAGCTGCTGTGACCGATTCCATCATAAGTTGCAAATCTATTTTCGTGTTGCTTGTTGGTTTCGTGTGCAGTGTGGCCCCGTCCCTTCAGTTTCCCGATGCTTGGTTTGCTGCATGGTGCATTGCGTGAAAGATCTCTGGGTACCCAATATGTTGTGTATGACCCCTGACGTGTTTGCATCACCCATGACTCACTAGACTCCACGCTTGGATCTTTCGAGGACAAGCACCAAATCGGAACTGTATCCTCATGTCAAGTCACTGGTATGATGGCGGCAGCTCCACATCGAGGCGGCTGCACCTGGACTCTATGTATGTCGATTCCATTCGTGGCTGGGTAGCTTCATCTGCAGCATGCAAAGCTAGTCCATAATGCTAAGTCTTTGCAAGGCTGTGCCTCGAGTTCAAGGCGTTCTCCGTGCTGCTTTTCAGCCCGGCTACCAAAGCTGCCACATCCTGAAAGAACAATGCAAACGCTCTCTGAACGTCCTTTCATCATGACGGCAAGTGCTGCTTGCACACTGGCCTTAGGCACCTCACCCTTGGACTGCTCCTCGCCACCTCCGAAAAGGTTTCCTGGCTTCACCAAAGGCTTGTTTCGACCACCGGATTTGCCTGTACATGCAGGTTCCATGTTCCTTGCATTGAGATCAACCAAACGCTCAGAGCATTTCATACTCCTGAATGCACGTGGACAAGTATTCAAAACTACTCCCTGATATGTTTGCCGCCATCTCTGCTCTCGCTGGGTTCATGAAGTCACTGACAATTCTGCGTACATACTCTCCCGCCTAAATTGAAAGCTGCGCGGGGTACTTTGCCCTGACCTGCAACACATAAGAATGCCATGCTTGGGTCTCTAAGACTACGACACTGTACCCAAACTCCAAGCTCATGCCATCTGACAATCTGGATGGACGGACGCATTGACTGGAACGCACAGCACCAGGAGGCAAGCCTGACACGTATTCCAAGCTTCACGCTCACGTTTGCCATTGCACGCACACTTCGGACACTGTTGTGCCCAGGCCTGCATTGAACCAGGAGCAAAACCAAAGCCAGCAAACATCGCTGCCTGGGCTTGGGTAAATGGCAAAACCGTCATAACAAAGCAGTTCTGCAACTTGCACGTAGGCTCACGAGCATACCCGGGCATGTCGCAGCTGAGAAGACAATCGCGCAAGCATGTGAGACCGCCATCCACTTGAGTTTTTCAATGAAGATCAATCAAATCAAGTCCGTGGCCTGCGTCTTGTCACTCGGTCCTGCCATTGGGAAAGCATCAGCGCTGAGGGATCGCGGGTTGCGAGATCTACATGGGAACAGTGTGATGCACGTTTCATCACTGCTCCGAGACAAGAGGCGTGACAACATTTTCTTCCAAACCCATACACCACCTACAGAGAGCGTATATTTTCAAACCGTACAAAAGCCAGTTTGGGTCAACCGCTGAACCAGCCACGGCTGCGGCCAATTTGAGGAAGCTGCTGTTCGTGGGAAAAGACTGACATCATGTTGTCTCGCTTGAAAACATGTGCTCACAAGCCAAACTTTCATCGCATGCTGTCAACTGGCAAGGTGCATCAAAACCGGAAGGATGGAGTTTGCTTCCATTCACAACACAATCGTTCGTCGCAAAAGAGTTGGTGCAGAGTACCCGCAGTCGCACTTTCCCACATTCTTCTGAAACGATCCCCTTGCTTAGAGCTGGTGCTCTTTCGATGGCGTGTTCGACAGTGACGGTTGAAGGTCTAAAAACTACAGGTGCAACTTTTGGCCGATGCCCTGCAGTCTTGGCCAGTCAATGGACGGGTAGCTGCGGTTAACTGCAGTTTGAATACCAATGGTCAAACTCTGGGTTGAACATCTTGGTTCGAACATCTGCAGAGTTGCTGACAAGATTGCAGTGTGCATTCTGAGAACTGATCTGCATTCAGGCATCGACTCATCGCAAAACATCGTTTTTCAATCGCAGAAGCCACATTACTCTCTTTGATTACAAAGGTTGCTGGAAGTGTTAAAACCTTAGGTTTGGAAGTCTAGAGTTCGAACTCAGAGTTCCTAGAGTTCGAATTCAGAGTTCAGGGCCGAGAGCTCGTGGTTCGCACGTAAATGTTCCCTCCGAACCCGGAATTCGAAGTCTGAGTTCAACTTAGAGCTCAACTCATCTCGGAACTCTTGAACTTAGAATTGAACTCGAGTTCGAACTCCAGCTTGCAGAATCTTTGAGCTCCAAGTTCAGAGCCGGAACACCGGTGTTCGAACTCCGGATTCGAACTTGGAAAGCAATTTAGTTGCAGTCCAATTTGTTGCTCAAAGAAAACGGAGTTACGTCGCTATTTTACAGGAAAGAAAAAAGATCAAACGGTCTTAAATATGAGACCGGCAGTTGGAAAGTCCAAGAACCCGCCAAAACTTCTTTTGTTCGAATATGTCTTCCAGCAACAATCAACCTCTCGCTTTTTGCCTCTCTCTCAATGGGCGCAAATGGAAGAAACGGCAGGCAGGAAGCGTCCGTCTGTCCACGTGAGTGCCTTTGGTGTCGTCCGCCAGCTTTTGCAGGGACCGCGTTGCAGCTCTGCTCTGGACTTGTCAGACTTTCTGCGCTAACCTCGAACCGCAACGTCTGGAGTTGGAATTGGGGATTTTTTCTTGGCGTATGCAGGTCTCGTCCACACGGAACAAGATACCTAATTTGAGGGGCGGAACGAGTGGACTTGGCCATTTGCCGTTCCAAAGTTGCCCAAGACCTCTTTGTGAAGTGTGGATTCAGCTTGACTGCAGTCTTGTTTTTCCCTGCAACTCAGCACGACAAAGGGTAATTTTGACCAGTTGCATCTTTTTCTTCTGTTCTAGCAGGAGCTAAACCCACACATGAAACTTTAGAGACGAATCTTCATGATTTCGTATGGAGTTTTCAAGTCTCTTTCACATGTTGTGTCATTAAGTGAAGTGAGCTGAGATGCCACGTGTTCGTTTAGATCTTTTCTCAGGTATTCCTTCGAACTCCTTGGTGTTAGCAACGAAAAAAGTCATGGAGCAAGACCTGTTCCCGACATTCTCCAATCTTTCAACTCTTCTCCAAGTTCGGCAGAATCGTCGAGCAGTAAACCAACGTCATCGGATCATCGAACATCTTTTAATTTCCACCCTACGTCATCGCATTAAATTGTCCATCGCGAATCGCATAAACCGGAATGCCTTCCTCCACCCGTCTGGGTCTCTAGACAAGGCACATGCTGAATACTCAGTGCGCGCCGTCGGAACACAGGGCCGGTACCGCGTCTCCGCTGGGCAGGGCGGTTGAAATTGGTGCCGAAACTGCCTTGAAGCACCATTCCATCTCAAGTCGAAGACCGGGAGTATGTGCTCTCAGCCTCCAAGCGGAAACAAAACAAGTTTTCCTGGGGCATCCGAAAGGGTGGAAGCGCAAGGCATTGGGGGTTGCAAGGCATTTCACGGGTGGAAAGGCATTTTATAGCCTTCCGGGAGCCCCCGTAAGGGGAAGCCGCAAGGCATTCTCGCAGGAGTAGTGATTCATCATGCGAACACCGTCTTGGACTCGGACTCCGCTGGGCCAGAACCGAACATTCGAAGCTTCCGCTGCAGATCGCCGTCAACTTCTTGCATGCGCTTGCCGGACTTGGTGCGACAAGAAACCTTCGAGTGCACAAATTCTCAGGTTGTCCCAGCTGCTGGAGGCCAAAGAGGGCGAGCAGAAATGCCTTTCGAAGAAATGATCATAATGAGGTTTGGGCGTTACAATGCAAGGTGCCGTGGTCAGACGATGGGCAATGTTGCAAACACTCGGAGCTCTGGAGGAAGCTCTGTGCGCTCCACCTGTTTTGCATCTTTGGCCTGCGCACTCTGTTCCGAGCGCTCCATCCAGTGCGGCACCTTTCTGGCGTGCTGAATTGTGCGCTGCCTTTGCGAGACCCACCATGTTGGAAAACTATTTTCGAATGCCACTTGAACATGTTGCCACACTCTTTGCTCGATCATGGGCACTTGCCATCTCGTGCCCTCCGGTTCGAACCAAGAACCATTTATTGAGGGTAGGCTGGACTGCAATGGTCACGCTGAATGTCATATGCACAGGTCTCGCCTTCTTGGCGCTGTGCGCCTTCTGAGGCATTTTAGTTGACAGTGTGGCTTGTTTCAGGTGCGCGCCACTTCATTTCAACCGGCAATTTTTTTTTCCGACCTCCATCTTTTCTTCAGCCCCGCGACAAGGTCAAGAAAAAGATTGCGATCTTTTTTGCAATCTCCACTGCTCCGAACCTCTAATGTCTTGTTTTCTGATAGAAGCACGCACAGATAACATTTCAAACAACGCAATAAAGAGCTGCACAAAAAACGAACATAACCATACTAATTCACGCAAAAAGATTCTTTTACCGACTTTCCAATGCTTGTTTTGTGGCCTGCTTGGAGCCGAAACAATGATCAATTTTTTTAGACCGCGGATGTCGACGCGTGAGCTGTTTTGGAGCAAGAGTTGAACCCTGGGTTCGAACTTCTCGAACCCAGGTTGAACCTGGAGTTTGAACTCTATGTTCAAACCCTGGGTTCGGGAACTCTATGTTCGAACCCGGGGTTCGGGAACTCTATGTTCGAACCCTGGGTTCGGGAACTCTATGTTCGAACCCGGGGTTTGGAGAACTCCACGTTCGAACCCCGGGTTCGAGAACTCCTCCTCCTTTCCCAGAGAGTCCGAACCCTGGGTTCGGAACTCTATGTTCGAACCTGGGGTTTGGGGAACTCTATACCGGAACCCCGGGTTCCGGAACCCCCCCCCCCCGTCCCCCAGGGAGATCGAACCCTGGGTTCGGGAACTCTATGTTGGAACCCGGGGTTTGGGGAACTCTATGTTGGAACCTCGGGTTCTGGAATTCGTCCCCCCCGGGGCGTTCGAACCCTGGGTTCGGGAACTCCACGTTTGGGGGGGGCTGCGCCCCCCCCCAACCCCCCCGCTGTTTTTAGAAGCTTGCCGAAAACAAAGAAAAAGACTACCAAGGACCAGTCCCTGCCACAAAAGAAGAAGAAGCCACACGAAACCGCTTTATGGGGGTTTTGCGAAGAAATCAAAGAGAGACAAAACAAAGAAAAAGATTGTCAATGACGAAGAGTCTTTCTTCTCAAGGGGGCTTCAGAAGGACATGAAGTCTCCTACGAGAATGCTAAAGGCGCCAACAAATGAACCGCCCAACCCCGGGTTCTAGACTCCCCCCCAGAGTTCGAACGCGGTTCGAACTCCCCGGGTTCTAGACTCCCCCCCAGAGTTCGAACGGGGTTTGGGTTCGGGAACTCTATGTTCGAACCCGGGGTTTGGAGAACTCCACGTTCGAACACCGGGTTCGAGAACTCCTCCTCCTTTCCCAGAGAGTCCGAACCCTGGGTTCGGAACTCTATGTTCGAACCTGGGGTTTGGGGAACTCTATACCGGAACCCCGGGTTCCGGAACCCCCCCCCCGTCCCCCGCCCCCAGGGAGATCGAACCCTGGGTTCGGGAACTCTATGTTGGAACCCGGGGTTTGGGGAACTCTATGTTGGAACCTCGGGTTCTGGAATTCGTCCCCCCCGGGGCGTTCGAACCCTGGGTTCGGGAACTCCACGTTTGGGGGGGGCTGCGCCCCCCCCCAACCCCCCCGCTGTTTTTAGAAGCTTGCCGAAAACAAAGAAAAAGACTACCAAGGACCAGTCCCTGCCACAAAAGAAGAAGAAGAAGCCACACGAAACCGCTTTATGGGGGTTTTGCGAAGAAATCAAAGAGAGACAAAACAAAGAAAAAGATTGTCAATGACGAAGAGTCTTTCTTCTCAAGGGGGCTTCAGAAGGACATGAAATCT